ATATAGAGTAAATAAAATAAAAACATTTTTTATAAGTTTCAGTCATCAAGCTCATCAGAAATAAAAAACCAGCTTAAAAGTGCATTTGGATCAAACAATGATTTTAAAGCTTGCTTGACTGAAAATAATATGACTAGAGGTAAGTTATAACTACACACATCGTTGCCAACTTTCTATTTTTATTTTTTCTTTTGATCAGTTCTAAATTAATTCTGTTTTAACTGATTTAATTGGGCATTTGTCTTACTTACAATTTTTTAATATTTTAATTGAGTTAACTTTTTTGTAAAAACAATTTTTGGCTGTAAAAGCGTTTTTCTGTACGTTGATCTATTTTATTTTATTTTATAGATGATGCCTACAACGAAGAAGACGTAATAAATAACTTACATGTGAAACCTGAAAATGCAGAGAGAACAAAAAAAAATAGCTGCTGGATTGCGTGTATCTTCAAGAAACAGAATTTAGTAAGTGTTTATAAATATGTTACATATTTTAACATAATGTCCAATAATGCAATAATAACCTGTCACAATAAATAATAAAACTTTTAATTATTAAAGATTTAGTAATTTAATAATGCAATAATTATTAATAAAAAACGTATATGTACTTAACGACCATACACAAAGTAATATTATTATATGTTCTTAATAAAAATATATTATGCTGTTTAATTCATAATTAATATATTTTAAATTGTATAACTTTTTAAATGCACGAAATAATTATAAGTTATATTCTACTATTTTCTACTATTTACAATTTTTCTTTAATAATATTAGATGGAAGGAAAAAACATTAATGAAGCTCAAGTTCATGCAAAATTAAATGAAGTAATGAATGATGGTCCTGAACTAGCTATAGCACACAAAATTACGCGTAAATGCATAAAAAAAGGTAAATTATATCTTATTATATTATAATTATTACAAATATATAAGTACTACGACACTACAGTTACTAAGAAATAAAGTATTACAAAAACATGTATTATGTATACTTTTTCCATGTGTAGTATGCAAGTTTTGAAACAATACATTTGCTATTAGAATAAATAATCTCATAAAATATGTTATATATATATTTCAATATTATTTAATTATATTTTTTTAATTTTTATAAATATAGCAAACAGTATTACTCAAGAATGTGAGAAAGGTTGGTCTCTGAACGTGTGCATCGCAAAAGCTATACATAAATTAGGGCAACATAATGAACATGAATTAAACTCTGATACAGAAGACGGAGCGGTAACAGAACAAGCTGAATAAATACAAATAAATGCAAAAATTGAATATTATTCGTATAATTATTAATGTACATTTATAATACACACACAATATAATTTACCTTAAATAAATAGATATATAAATATATATGCTTTTGTATGTATTTTTTCCATTCTTATTTTTTTGATTTAATAAATGTGCTGCAAATATGAGAATTGTGTTTTAATTTTATTAAAAACTTATTTATAAGTATATAAAATAAACACATTTATAAAAACAATTTTGAACCTCTTATTATAATATATTTTTTAATAATAAAAAATTTGTTTATTTTGTAATATTTTTATCATTAAAAACTTCTTTTAACGCATATTAATAATATCTCTCTTTTACTAATCTCCTTTCCATTGAAACTACAAGAACAGTTTCGTTATCTTTAATTGGTAGTGTTATTGGAATTACGGTACAGTTTGCATTACAGCATTAGTATTTTCTATAACATACTAAAAATACATGGCATTATTTATATATTTGTAATCTCACAGCATAGTCTTAATAAAATAAATTTTTGCATTTAATATACTGCCATATTATTATTCTAATATATAACTAAAAAGAATGTTTGCTCTTAAAACATTATAATATTTTACAATTTAATAATGCAAAAATGCTTTACATAAATAAAGCGTATATTAATTTAAATCACGATTTAGCTTTCAACACAATACATAAATATTTTAAATAAATACTTGGAACCTACAAAATTTAACAATAATTTTATTATTACTTACTTTATTGTTAGAGGAAGGTCTTCTATTACACGATAGCAAGGTTTCTGCTAATCTAATAGGTTCTATCTGTTGGTTTCATCATGAATTTATTGCCCTTAGAGTAAAATCTGTTTAGTGGAAAATTCATTATTCAACCATGCATGCATTCACCTACTAAATTTTTTAATTCTGCACATGAACTTCCGGCAATCACGTAAAATATATGTGATATCTCATAATAGGTAAGGGACTTTCCTCTAATACTATTTATTTTATTTTTATATATTTGTGCCAATCCACATTGCAAGATAGTATTGGCGTATTATTATTATGGAAATAATCTCTAATCCATTAATGTTATATAACTAATGTTTGTATGATCTATGATCTTGGTTCTTTGACCCACGTATCTTATATTTTGACATGAGAATATATATACGGTGCAGCTGCGGTTGCTATGAATAATTGTGTTTAGTACAGTGGAGATATAATCTGTACAAAATGAAAAGTCTTGTGCTTTGCGCCTGTGTTTTAATACTTGCTGTAAGTACTATTTTAATAATCTACAAAAATTAATTTTAAAAATATACATTAAAAAAGATATAGATAGAGTAAATAAAATAAAAACATTTTTTATAAGTTTCAGTCATCAAGCTCATTAGAACTAAAAAACTGGCTTAAAAGTGCAGTTGGATCAAATATAATGAATGATGCTGAAGCTTGCTTGACTGAAAATGATATGACTAAAGGTAAGTTATAATTACACACATTGTTGCCAACTTTCTATTTTCATTTCTTCTTTTGATCAGTTTTAAATTAATTCTGTTTTAACTGATTTAATTAGGCATTCGTCTTACTTACAATTTTTTGATATTTTAATTGAGCTAATATTTTTGTAAAAACAATTTTTGGCTGTAAAACCGTTTCCCTGTACGTTGATCTATTTTATTTTATTTTATAGAAGACCCCTACAACGAAGTACAAATAATGAATAACTTTTATGTAAAACCTGAAAATGCAGAGAGAACAAGAAAAAATGGCTGCTGGGTTGCGTGTATCTTAAAGAAACAGAATTTAGTAAGTGTTTACAAATATGTTACATATTGTATACATAATGTCCAATAATGCAATAATAACCTGTCACAATAAATAATAAAATTTTTAATTATTAAAGATTTAATAATTTAATAATGCAATAATTATTAATAAAAAACGTTATATGTACTTAACTACTAATTAATACACAAAGTGATATTATTATATGTTCTTAATAAAAATATAATATGCTGTTTAATTAATAATTAATACATTTTGAATTGTATAACTTCTTTAAGGCACGAAATAATTATATGTTATATTCTACTATTTCCCACTATTTATAATTTTTTTTTAATAATATTAGATGGAAGGAACAAACATTAAGGAAGCTCAAGTTCATGCAAAATTAAATGAAATAATAAATGACGGTCCTGAATTAGCCGTAGCACACAAAGTTGCACGTAAATGCATAAAAAAAGGTAAACTATATTTTATTATATTATAATTATTACAAATATATGAGTACTACGACACTAAAGTTACTAAGAAGTAAAGTATTACAAAAACATGTATTGTGTACACACTTTTTCCATGTGTAGTATACAAGTTTTGGAACAATACATTTGCTATTAGAATATAATAATCTCATAGAATATGTTATACATATATTTCAATATATTTAATTATATTTATAAAATTTTTATGAATATAGCGAAAAGTATTACTCAAGAATGTGAGAAAGGTTTCTCTCTGAACGTGTGCATCGCAGAAGCTATACATAAATTAGAGCAACATGATGAACATGAATTAGACTCAGATACAGAAGACGAAGCAGTAACAGAACAAGCTGAATAAATACAAATAAATGCAAAAATTGAATATCACCCGTATAATTATTAATGCACATTTATAATACACACACAATATAATTTACCTTAAATAAATAGATATAAATATATATATATATATATGCTTCTGTATATATTTTTTTCATTCCTATTTATCTGATTTAATAAATGTGCTGCAAATATGAGAATTGTGTTTTGATTTGTTTTGATTTATTGAACTCATTTCTAACTATATAAATAACCATATTTATAAAAACAATTTTAAACCTCTTATTATAATACATTCTTTAATAAAGAATTTGTATATTTTGTAATATTGTTATCATTAAAAACTTCTTTTTACACATATTAATAATGTCTCTCCCTTACTATAATCTTCTTTCCATTGAAACTTACGAGAACGGTTTCGTTTACCATAGGAACAAATATTCCATCGGTTTCAAAAATGCTTGAAGGTCTAGGTTTAATAAAATAGTTTATAGTGTTAATTTATTAAATAAATTATTAAATAATTATCCAATTAATTTATTTACATCTAGCTATTTAAATATCATATTTGGAAAAAAAGTGTAACATATCCCAGATAACACATACACGTTTCAGAAATGTTTTATAAGTGTTTTTTTGAAACTTTTTATAACCAATTTCTAGAAACGTTTCTCATGAGTAAAAATGTCCATTCAAAAAACGTTTAATGGAACGTTGATTTTCTGATAAAGTAACGTTTAAAAAACTATTATAGAAAGGTTATTTTAATGATGAAGAAATTTAAAAATTCCTACTTTTTACACCTTTTGAACGTGTTTATGACGTTTTTAAGACATGCATGAGAATGTTCTAGAAGTTTATATTATTTATAACGCTATTCTTTTTTGAAGAAATTCCTGAACTGGTGTATGTACATTTGTGCAATAAGTTAGAGTAAAACAAAATATGCTTGTCTCACTCCAACTTAGGTATTATACTACTGATGTACACCAGGAAGTTCTTCAAAACAAAACAAACATATAAATGTACTTTCAATGGCCACGTTCAGTAGGACATTTATTTTGCAATTGTTGAAAGTTTTCTAAGCTCAGATTTGTCCGATGGCAAATAGATTTTAAACTGATAGGACAAACTTAATTTAATTAAATAAGTGGATATATATGTGCATGGATAAAATAATTTATTTTGAGCAATAATTAATGCAATATAAATTTAAATGTTTTAAAAGAGGCTATTAAAACTATTACATATAGATAAAGCAAATTATAATTTTGAAAGAAAAAATTTAACAAATATTTTTGTTAACTGTAGAAACGTAAAATATACGTTTCTTTAAATTATGGTTTCAAAAACATTTTTGTTTAAACGTTTCTCAATGGTTCTTTACGGTTATGAAACTACGTATACGTTCAAAAAACGTATATGAAATTAATGTGTTACCTGGGATGTTCTTTAGTTCTTATTATTTCCTAATTAGTTTTTTTTCTATTCTAGCAAAGGTCCTTATAGAAAAGTGCGAAAAAAGCTTTGTTCTTACGGAATGTTACCTAAAAGCTGAAGGGAAAGTTTTTTTCTTCTCCTTCTTCTGGAAACCAGAAAAACCACGAGCATGAAGATAAATCTGAAAAATAATAAATGCAATTAAAAACATATTGATATATTACATAAGACATATTGCTCAAAATGATTGATAATCGATATTTCCATTGAGACTATATGAGAACCGTTTCATTACCTTTAATCGATGGTGCTATTGGAATTACTGTAGAGTTTGCATTACAGCATTAGTTTTTTCTTTCTAATTGGAAGTGTGCGCTTGTTTTCAACTAATAATAAAATAGGTCGTTATCATATTTGTTACTTTTTTATTGTAATAAATAAATTTTTTGATTATTCTTTGTGCTTGAGCGTCTTTATCCTATAATATAATAAAAGTACATTATATTATTTGTATATTTGCAATTTTATAGCATAGTTACAATACATTCAATGTTTGCATTGAATATATAATGCCATATTATTATCTTATATAACTAAGAAGATGTTTACTCTTAAAACATTATAATATTTTACAATTTAATAATGCAAAAGTGCTTCATATAAATAAGCTTCTATTCATTTAAATCACGATTCAGTTTTCAGAACAAGAAATAAATATTTTAAATTAATAGTTATAACAAACGTATAATATAAATATAATCTATAAAGCTTGTCTCAATAATTTTAATATTATTTATTTTATATTATTACTGTTTATTTTTTTTTTACTATTTAACTTTATTCTTTACATCCTTGTCAATCCACATTGCAAGATAATATTTAAGTATTATAATTATGGTAAATAATATTTACACGCATTAATGTTATATAACTAATGTTTGTATGATCTATAATCTTGTTTCTTTAACCTATATTTTATATTTTAGCATAAGAGTATATATACGATGTAGCTGCGGTTATCTTAAATGATTGCGCTGAATGTAGTCGAGATATAATCTGTACAAAATGAAAAGTCTTGTGCTTTGTGTCTGTGTTTTAATACTTGCTGTAAGTTTTAATAAACTATACTTAAATAATTTTATAATAAATTAAAAATTTTCATATAAAATAATACACATTAAAAAAAAGTATAAAATAAATAAAATAAAAATTTTTTATAATCTTTAGTCATCAAGCTCAGAACTAAGAAAATAGCTCAAAAGTACAGTTAAATCAAACCTAGACAATGATGCTGCAGCGTGCATGACTGAAAATAATATGACTAAAGGTAAATTATAATTACATACATTGTTGCCAATTTTCTAATTTTTACTTCTTCTTTTGATCAATTCTAAATTAATTCTGTTTTAACTGATTTGATTGTGCGTTCTTCTTACTTACAATTTTTTAATATTTTAATTTAGCTAACATTTCTGTAAAAGCATGTTTTCCTTTGCGTTGATCTATTTTATTTTATAGATGACCACTACATAGAATATGAGATAACAAATGACACACACGAGGAACCTGAAAATGCAGAAAGAACAAGAAAAAAATGACTAATGCAGGTTTGCGTGTGTTTTAAAGAAACAGAATTTAGTAAATGTTCACAAATATGCTATACATATTTTATACATAATGTTCAATAATCTGTCGCAATAAATAAACATTTCCAATTATTAAAGATCTAGTAATTTAATAATAATGCATTAACTTTTAATGCAATTAATAAAACATAACATACACTTAACGACCAATTGATATACAAAGTGATATCATTATATGTCGTTAATAAAAATATATTACTCTGTTTAATTAATTAATATGTTTCATAATTAATGAACATGGGTAAATGGATTATTACAATTATATAAAACTACACTATAGTTATTACTAAGAAATAAAAGACACTACAGATAAATATATTATGTACACTTTTTGCATGTGCACTATGCAGTTTTGGAACAACATATATATTTGCTATTAAAATACAATAAAGTTATAAAAAATATTATACATATATTTTAATATTATTTAATCATATTTTTTAAATTTTTATTTACATAGCAAGAAATATTACACAAGTATGTGAGAAAGGTTTCTCTCTGTACGCATGCGTCGCAGAAACTTTATTTAAATCACGAACCTGAAAAACATGAAATATTAGAAGCAGAAGCAGCAGAAATAGAAGACGAAGTGATAACAGCTAAAATAAGCTGAATAAATACAAATAAATAAAAATTAGATATTACCCATATAATTATTAATGCACATGTATAATACACACACTACATAATTTATCTTAAATATATATATATATATATATATATATATATACTCTCTTGTATGTACACTGTGCGCATCAATGATTTCTTTTCTGAGGTCAGGGGGAAACATAGAAGTCTAGAGACGCTATTAGTAACTTCTATTAAAATCATTAGAATTTTTATGTTCCCTCTTTACCTCAGGAAAGGAATTATTGACGCGTATTTTATTCTCTCTATTCTTATTTTTCTGATTTAATAAATGTGCTGCAAATATGCGAATTGTGTTTTGATTTATTAAAATCATTTCTAAGTATATAAAATAAATACATTTATAATAACAATTTTAAATTCCTTACTACATATAATACATTCTTTAATAAAGAATTTGTATATTTTGTAATATTTTTATCATTAAAAACTTCTTTTTTGACGCATATTAATAAAATATCTCTCCCTTACTAATCTCCTTTCTATTGAAACTACAAGATCAGTATCGTTATCTTTAATAGTGTTATTGCTACAGTTTGCATTACAGCATTAGTTTTTTCTATAACATACTAAAAATACATTGTATTATTTATATATTTTTAATTTTATAGCATAGTTTTACTAAAATAAATTTTTGCATATAATACTACCATATCATTATTCTAATATTGTATAACTAAAAAGAGTGCTCTTAAAACATTATAATATTTTACAATTTAATAATGCAAGCATGTTTTATATAAATAAAGTGTCTATTTATTTAAATCACGATTTAGTTTCCAAAACAACACATAAATATTTTAAATAAATACTTGAAATTTATAAAATTTGACAATAATTTTATTATTACTTATTTTATTATTATTATTTATTTTATTTTTATATATTTGCGCCAATGCGCATCGCAAGATAGTATTGGCGTATTATCATTATGGAAATAATCTCTAATATATTATATAACTAATGTTTGTATGATCTATGATCTTGGGTCCTTGACCCACGTATCTTATATTTTGGCATGAGAGTATATATACGATGAGCTGCGGTTGCTATGAATAATTCTGTTTAATACAGTGGAGATATAATCCGTACAAAATGAAAAGTCTTGTGCTTTGCGCCTGTGTTTTAGTACTTGCTGTAAGTACTATTTTATTAAACTACTTAAATAATTTTAATGAATTACAAAAAATTATTTAAAAAATACACATTAAAAAAGGTATAAATTAAATAAAATTAAAATATTTTTTATAAATTTTAGTCATCAAGCTCATCAGAAATAAAAGACCGGCTTAAAAGTGCAGTTAGATCAAACCTACAAAAATATGCTGAAGCTTGCTTCTCTGAAAATAATGCGACCGGAGGTAAGTTATAATTACACACATTGTTGCCAACTTTCTATTCTCATTTCTTCTTTTAATCAGTTATAAATTAATTTTGTTTTAACTAATTTGATTGGGTATTTGTCTTACTTACAATTTTTTAATATTTTAATTGAGCTAATATTTTTGTAAAAACAATTTTTGGCTGTAAAACGTTTCCCCGTACGTTGATCTATTTTATTTTATTTTATAGATGACCGCTACACAGAAGAAGATATAATGAATAACTTATATGCAAAACCTGAAAATGCAGAAAGAACAAGAAAAAATGGCTGCGTGCTTGCGTGTGTCATGAAAAAACAGGATTTAGTAAGTATTTACAAATATGCTATACATATATTTCATACGTAATGTCCAATAATGCAATATTAATCTGTCACAATAAATGATAATATTTCCAATTATTAAAGATTCAGTAATTTAATAATAATGCATTAACTATTAATACAATTAATAAAACGTTATATGTACTTAATGACCAATTAATACACAAAGTAATATTATTATGTTTTTAATAAAAATATATTATGCTGTTTAATTCATAATTAATACATTTTGAATTGTATAACTTTTTAAATACACGAAATAATTATATGTTATATTCTACTATTTCTTACTATTTATAATTTCTCTTTAATAATATTAGATGGAAGGAACAAACATTAAGGAAGCGCAAGTTCATGTAAGAATAAATGAAGTGCTGATGAATGACGGTCCTGTACAAGCCGAAGCACACAGAATGATGCGTAAATGCATGAAAAAAGGTAAGCTATATCTTATTATATTATAATTATTACAAATATATAAATACTACGACACTACAGTTACTAAGAAATAAAGTATTACAAAAACATATATTATGTGCACTTTTTCCATGTGCAATGTGCAAGTTTTGGAACAATACACATTTGCTATTAAAATACAATAGTCATAGAAGATATTATACATATATTTCAATATTATTTAATTATATTTTTTAAATTTTTATTTATATAGTGAGAAGTATTACGCAAGAATGTGAGAAAAGTTTCTCTTTGCACGTATGCATCGTAGAAGCTATGGATAAATTAGGGCAACATAATGAACATGAATTAGACTCAGATACAGAAGACGAAGCGGTAACAGAACAAGCTGAATAAATACAAATAAATGTAAAAATTGAATATTACTCGTATAATTATTATTAATGCACATTTATAATACACACACAATATAATTTACCTTAAATAAATAGATATATATACACTCTTGTATGTACTTTCTCCATTCTTATTTTTCTGATTTAATAAATGTGCTGCAAATATGAGATATGTGTTTTAATTTTGTTAAAACTTATTTATAAGTATATAAAATAAACACATTTATAAAAATAATTTTAAATTTCTTATTATAATACATTATTTAATAATAAAGAATTTGTTTATTTTGTAACATTGTTATTGTTAAAAACTTTCTTTTTAATGGATATTAATAATATATCTTTATATTATTATACATGTAATAACATTATATATTTTTTTCTATTATAACCGTATTTAAAATCTTTTCAAATAATGCAACAAAAATTTCTTACTTTAACATTTCCGTAATTCCATCTATTACATATCTTATTCTTCTAAAATTGCCAAAATGCATTTAACGCTAAAATACAAATTGCTTGAAAATATAAAAATCAGATATATGTAGTAACGTATTCTTTAAAAAGATATTTTAATAATATTCAAATAACATTTATTTTATAGAAAGAAAATTAGGTAAAATTATGTATTTATCTACCATGAGTACATTATCACAAATGTTCATAGTTTCTAAATTAATTCTACCCACTGTCGATCTTTATTAATGTACATAAATTATAAATTATAAAAAAACAAAAATTAAATACAACCGTCCTAATTTTCATCATAACATAATTATTCAAGTTTGAAATTTACGAGATTTTGATAAAAGAATACGTGCAAATTTTTGTTTTCTTTGGTTGATAAAATTGCCTGATTAAAGTTTGATTTGTTTTGATCAGTTGATCCATCTTTTCTTGATATCTGTTTATATTTGCAGTCGTTTTTCATTTTTAGTTTGGATTTATTAACAGTCAATTATATATAAGTAGATTACTTTGTGTGCTCTGCTTTTTATTACTTTTATTATGTCCAATTAGTTTAAAGAATAACGTATCACAGGTATACAGCTGTATACATCTAAAGAAAGGCTCAGTTGTCTCAATAGAAGCCACCAAGTGAGTTAAAACCGTAAGAAGCAATGTTAGATCAAATGTTAAGGAGCTTCTCAATGTACTTTCCGATTATCGCGGTATTATATTTTACAAATTCTTGCCACAAGGTATTATGGCATTTGGCCAATCGCTTACGATCGCCGATTAAAGACTTCCGATTGCCTAACTTCTAATGCATTCTTGTGTTATTATAATTAATTTATTTAAATATTTATGTTTTTGTAAATTTATCCCAAGACTATTCTTCTGCAAACATTTGCAATATATCAATCATTAGAAATCTAAAAATTCTCTGGAATATACAACAGAGATAAACACATACGTCTGATTAACTGACGTAATATAAACATTAAAAAATAATTATAAAGTAATCAGAATATGTGAACATACTAGGCTTATACATATGAGAAAATTGCATACGTAAGTCACATCTTAGCAACTTATATTAGTAACAATGTGAGTTTGTATGAGTGATTTATCATCTTTTGTACAAGTATTTCATGTGTTTATGTGATCTATGATCTCGCAACACTAATCTATGCATTTTACATATTCTGACAGTATAAATATGATTGCTATTAGGCTCCAGTGCGTTATTGTACAAGCACGTTTAAACATAGCGGAATAATTTTATTCATTCATTTAAGATGGAGAAGCTTATATTCTATATTTGTACTTTTGCGCTAATTGTAAGTACCTAATTTCTGTCATAAAAATTAAATATTAATAAAAAGATAAAAAATTTTTTAGAGATCCCTGGCGGAAATATTTCTACAAAATTTAAAAAACTATAAAATATAATTGCCAGAATCTATTAAATTCTACATGAATTTAGGAAGTACTACAAAATTCTACATGAAAATGCTAGAATTGGAACTTTTGTAAATTTTTGTAGTATTCTACAAGTAAGCAGATGTTTTAATTTTTTAAGATTTTGTTTCTTCTTAAATTTTTAAAATTTGTAGATTTTTGTACTATTTTTTATAAATTATAGTTTTTCATAAAATACTACTTGCGATAATTTCTTGATTTGAGAACATTGTAATTTGTGGTACTAATTTGTAGATATTTCTAAAAAAAAAATAACCATTTCTGCAAAAAATTAAACATTTCAACAAAAATGTACAAATTTTTATTTCTAGTTAAATTTTGTAGTTATTCATAGAATTTTTTTCCGCCAGAGATGCAATAAAAATTCTTTTACAAATTAATTATAAACAAGTTATAAGTATTAAGTTATATTATTATTGCTTATACATATAATTAATATGTCATAATATCTATATGTGTTTATGCACTACGTATGAAAAAAAAACTTAATTAACATAAAGAACATTAAAATAATAAGCAAATTAAAATTGCGTATATTTCAGTCTTTTACTGTTGGCTCGAAGTTGGGAGCTGGCAATAAATATTACAATACCTGCTTAACTGAAAATAATGTATCTGATGGTAAGTCTATACATACAAAAACAGATTCTTATTTGATTTGCATGTCTTCTTAATTATACAACAAAACCAAAGATATTACATGTTTAATTATGAGTTAGTTATTTTTGAACAAAAGTGTATTATATGTCATTTTTTTCATATAAAAAGAAATTCTATTAAAGACAATAATACTTAAAATAAAAATTAAATAAAGTGTTTAACTAGCATTTTTAAATTTTAATTTTTATGAGTATTATACAACTATTTTTATTATTTTCCATAAATTATTAGAATTTTGATACATAAGCGCAAAGGACCCTGCAACGGTCCATAAGGGTTTTGGCTCCCAGTCAAATTTAACAATAATGTAGGATAATGTAGGACACACACAAACAACTCTCTTTCTCCCTTTCTACCTGCGTGTGAGTTTAGTATCAAAACAGATATGACTTATCATGATATATTCCTGTTGCAAACTGCCATTAGCTGAAACCTGAAACTCTCATTTTTTCACTCTTTAATGCCCTATATCTCGGAAACTGTCCATTTTTGAGCTTGGTGCCTATGGACACTTTTTATCAGCATGTTATGAACTACATTATCCTACATTATTGTTAAATTTGACTGGGAGCCAAAACCCTTATGGACCGTTGCGAGGTCCAAAATTATTTATGAAATAATTAAAATTATGTAAAAGAAGATATATAATATAATATTTTGGATATTCTAAAGAAGTTTGTTCTATCTCAAATACCTGAAAACTTATATAAAAATTTATAAATTTATAAACTTTTTTAGAATAAAGTGATAGAACAAATAAAATTTTTGTAATTATTTACATACATACAATATAAATATATATATATTTTTAAATACATTTTCTAGATGACATGCTTACAATACGAGATATAATAGAGGACAAACACAAACAAGAAAATCAAGAAAAAATAAAAAAGAATGGTTGCGTTATGCAATGCTTGTTCCAAAAGGATGGAGTGGTAAGTGATACCTTTTGCTATCATTGTAAAAAAAATGTTTGAGCTATATACAAACTAATAAAACACTATTTAAAACATGAGAATGTAATCTTTGTATTAATGTTATTATAATACAATGATATATTATATTATAATATTATCTATTAATATCTACATTTTATATGTTTTTCTTGGAAATATTAGATGGAGGGATCGGAATATGACAGCGAGTTTACCAAAAGAACAAATGCTCCATCAGGTTCAGAATATTCAAAAATATTTGAAGCTCTAGATAACTGCATAAATGAAAGTAAGTTATATAATCGCGTTAAAAATATAAAATTATTGACTTTGTTTAAGAAACCTGTTTATAGTGTTAATTTATTAAATAAATTATTAAATAATCATGCAATCAATTTATTTATATCCAGTATTTAAACGTTATATTCGGAAAAAGGGTGTAACATATGTTTTTTTTTTTTTTTTATTATTTCCTGCTTAGATTCTTTTTTCTATTCTAGCAAAGGACCTTACAGAAAAATGCGAAAAAAGCTTTGCTCTTACGGAATGTTTCCTAAAAGCTGAAGATAAATTATATCCTTCTCCTTCTCCTTCTTCTGGAAACCAGGAAGAACATGACCATGAAAATAAATCTGAAAAATAGTAAATGCAATTAAGAATAGCTGATAAATAATTAATAAATAAAAATCAGAAGTGTATACAGTGTATAGCATTTCCAATAAAGAGATATATTCACACGATTTTCTTTCGTTTTGGTGCATTGATACGAAAACTAAATTTTGGTTTAAATGATAGTATATTATTGACTATCTTTATTAAAGAATTAGAATATTATCGATCTTTTTAAACTTATAATATTGTATAAATAAATGGACAATTGTGTTATAAATAAATTTTTATATATTGCATTATTTTTATTTACACATAGCCTTTCGTATTCAAATATACTTGCGTATCTATAATAATTACACACATATACATACATATCAATTTGCTATACGTAATTTGTATCTTATATATAAAATTATTGATTAATTAAAAATTATGGATTGATTGTTTTACACATAAAATATGTCAATGATTCTAAGCTCATAATTGATTTTATAAAAATAGCTCTTGTACATAAATTTTATTTATTGTTAATAAAATCATATAATCCCCATTGTGTGCTTTTAATTATTCAGTTTTATCGTTAATGTACAAACAAAAAAAATTTTTGCACGATTTCCACAATTTTTCTTCCTTTTTTAATAAAAATCATACTTTTGCAACTATATAACTGCAAATCCGACAAAGCCCATAAGATAAATTGCACAAAATGATTAATAATAATCGATTATATTAAGTTGAATAATATGGATTTGAGAAATTTATCTCTCCTATATTACGGCGTTAAATGTTATTCTGACATACGTTATTTGCGAGAGAGCCATTGGTTTCACTAATCTCCTTTTCATTGAAATTACGAATATTGTTTCGTTATCTTTAATTAATGGTGCCACTGGAATTATGGTACAGTTTGCATTACAGCATTAGTTTTTTCTTTCCAATTAGAAGTGTACGCTTGCTTTTGAACTAATAACTGAATAGGTCGTTATCATAATTGTATTTAACTACTGCTTTGTTGTAATGAATAATTTATCTGATTATTCTTTGTGCTTAATCTTCATCATCCTATAATTTAAGTACATTATGTTATTTGTGATCTCGTAGCATAGTCTTAATAAAATAAATTTTTGTATTTAATATATATGCTACCATATTATTAGCACAAATGCTCAGCTTCTACTTGATTCTATACACACTGTTCTTTATTAATGTACATAAATTATAATTAACAGGAAAATGAAAATTAAATACAACTCTCCTAATTTTTTCACAATATAATTAGTTAAGTCCAAAATTCATACACGAAAATTTCTAATGCATTTTTGTGTTAATTAATCCAGTCAAATTACTTCTGTTTTTGAAAATTTATCCCTTATAGGGATAATTATTTATAGACTTTTTTAAACATTTGCGATATAGAAATCCGGAAATTCTCTAGAACATACAGCAGAGATAAACACGTCTAATTAACTGACGTAATATAAACATTAAAAAATAATTATAATGTAATCAGCATATAAACATACTCATACATGTGAGAAAATTACATGTGTAAGTTATATCTTAACAACTTATATTATATAGCAACAATGTGAGTTTGTATGAGTGATTTATCATTATCTTTTATACATGTACTTCATGTTTATGTGATCTAATGATCCCGCAACTTTAATCTATGCATTGTATATAGAGATAGTATAAATATGACGCTGTTAAGCTCCAGTTAGTTATTGTACAAGTACGTTTAAGCATAGCGGTATAATTTTATTCATTTATTTAAGATGGAGAAGCTTATATTCTATATTTGCACTTATGCGGTAATTGTGAGTATTTTTGTGACGTAAAAATTAAATATTAATGAAAGAACAAAGATTTTTTAGAAATACAATAAAAATTTCTTTACAAATTAATTACAAATAAGTTATAAATATTAAGTTATATTATTGTGTGTGTGGTGTTGTACATATATATAATTAATATGTGATAATATCTAAATTTGTTTATGTATTACGCATAAAAAGAAAACTTATAATTAACATAATAAACATTAAAATAAGAAGAAAAATTACATATACACATATATATATTTTTTAGTCCTTTACTGTTGACGCAAAATTGGGATCCTCCACCGAACATTACAATACTTGCTTAACTGAAAATAATGTCTCTGATGGTAAGTCTACACAAATCTACATAGATTTTTATTCGATTTGCATGTCTTTTTAATTACTCCAGAACCAGGGATTTTATGTTTAATTTTGAGTCAGTTACTTTTTAACAAAAGTGTCTTATTTCCATAATAAAAAGATTTATTTAAAACTACTAATGAAGACTACTATTGATGACTACCAATATAAAAATTGAATGTTTTTGTATTTCAAAATTTTAAGTATAAATGTACAACTATTATAATTATTTTCTAAAAAGTATTAGAATTTTGAAACACATAATCGCAAAACCGATTATCTCTGAAATAATTAAAATCATGTAAAAAAAAATATATGATACAATATTTTAGATAGAATCCGACTGAAAGAATCTTTCTTAATTTCGGCTGAAACCGAAATTTTCATGGAAGTTTTAGAATACCTACGTACATGCGTGTACATATACAATATTCCTATTTTGAAATTTATTTTCTAGATGACATGCTTACCGAACAAGATGTAATACATGACCGACACAAAGAATCCGAAAATCAAGAGAAAATAAAAAAGAATGGTTGCGTCCTACAATGTATATTAGAAAAATTTGGAATGGTAAGTAATATTTTTTGTTATCTTTGTAAAAGAATGTTCGAGCTATGAACTAATAAGATAATAAAACATTATTTGGGATACAAAAATGTAATTTTTTTATAATTGTTATTATACAATAATATCATATTATATTTTTATTAATATTTTATATGTTTTTCTTGTAAATATCAGATGGAAGGATCGGAATATGACATAGAAAAAATGCGTAGCGAGACAATAAAAGGAGATATTGATGAATCAACAAAATTAAAATTGCTTGAAGGTCTGAATAACTGCATAAATGAAAGTAAGTTATAGAATCACATTATATACGAGTTCTCCAATTATTAATAAACATAAGATTATTGATTTTGTTTATTAAAACTGTTTAGTATATTAATTTCTTCAATAAATTATTAAATAAGTCATCTTAATGCTATCAATTTATCTAAATCCAACAATTTAAACATTATAATAAAAAAAAGGTGTAACATAACTGCTTTACTTTTCTTATTATTTTTTAATTAATTTTTTTTTCTATTTTAGCAAAGGATCTTACAGAAAAATGCGAAAAAAGCTTCGATCTTGTAGTATGTGGCCTAAAATCTAAAAAGAAAGTTTATGCTTCTCGTTCTGAAAACCAAGAAGAACATGAACATAAATCCGAAAAATAATATCTAAATGTAATTAAAACAGTTGATATACAATTCCTTTTCTGAAAAAGATATGTAAGAGATTAGCCCATAAGACAAAGCCCATAAGACAAATTGCACAAACTAATTGATAATCAATTATATTAAGTTGAATAATGTGGATTTTAAGAAATTTATCTCTCCTATATTACGGTGTTAATTGCTATTCTGACGTCCGTTGTTTGCGAAAGAGCCGTTAATTTCATTAATTTCCTTTTCATTGAAATTACGAATATTGTTTCGTTATCTTTAATTAATGGTGCCATTGAAATTATGGTACAGTTTGCATTACAGCATTAGTTTTTTCTTTCCAATTAGAAGTGTACGCTTGCTTTTGAACTAATAACTGAATAGGTCGTTATCATAATTGTATTTAACTACTGCTTTGTTGTAATAAATAATTTATCTGATTATTCTTTGTGCTTGATCTTCATCAACCTATAATATAATAAAAGTATATTATGTTATTTGTGATCTCGTAGCATAGTTTTAATAATATAAAGTTTTGTATTTAATATATAAATGCTACCATATTATTAGCTTCTACTTAATTCTACACACTGTTTTTTATTGATGTACATAAATTATAATTAATAAGAAAATGAAAATTAAATACAACCTTCTTAATTTTTTCACAATATAATTAGTTAAGTCCGAAATTCATACACGAAAATTTCTAATGCATTTTTGTGTTAATTAATCCAGTCAAATTACTTCTGTTTTTGAAAATGTATCCCTTATGGGGATAATTATTTATACTTTTTTAAACATTTGCGATATATCAATCCTTAGAAATCCGGAAATTCTCTAGAACATACAACAGAGATAAACACGTCTAATTAACTGACGTAATATAAATATTAAAAAATAATTATAATGTAATCAGCATATAAACATACCCATACATGTGAGAAAATTACATGTGTAAGTTATATCTTAACAACTTATATTATATAGCAACAATGTGAGTTTGTATGAGTGATTTATCATTATCTTTTATACATGTACTTCATGTTTATGTGATCTAATGATCTGGCAACTTTAATCTATGCATTTTAAATATTAGAGATAGTATAAATATGATGCTGTTAAGCTCCAGTTCGTTATTGTACAAGTACGTTTAAACATATAGCGGTATAATTTTATTCATTCATTTAAGATGGAGAAGCTTATATTCTATATTTGCACTTTTGCGCTAATTGTGAGTATCTTTGTGACATAAAAATTAAATATTAATGAAAGAGCAAAGATCTTTTAGATATACAATAAAAATTTCTTTACAAATTAATTACAAATAAGTTATAAATATTAAGTTATATTATTGTGTGTTGTTGTACATATATATAATTAATACGTGATAATATCTAAATTTGTTTATGTATTACGTATAAAAAGGAAACTTATAATTAACATAATAAACATTAAAATAAAAAGCAAATTACATATATACATATATATATTTTTTAGTCTTTTACTGTTGGCGCAAAATTGGGATCCTCCACCGAACATTACAATACTTGCTTAACTGAAAATAATGTCTCTGATGGTAAGTTTACATATATACATAAATTTTTATTTGATTTGCATGTCTTTTTAATTACTCCAGAACCAGGGATTTTATGTTTAATTTTGAGTCAGTTATTTTTCAACAAAAGTGTCTTATTTCCATAAAAAAGGATTTATTTAAAACTACTAATTAAAACTACTATTGATGACTACCAATATCAAAATTGAATAAGTTTTTGTATTTCAAAATTTTAAGAATAAATGTACAACTATTTTAATTATTTTCCAAAAAGTATTAGAATTTTGAAACACATAATCGCAAAACTGATTACCTCTGAAATAATTAAAATCATGTAAATAAAAATATATGATATAATATTTTAGATAGAATCCGACTGAAACAATCTCTTTTATTGTAATTTCGGCTGAAACCGAAAACTGAAATTTTCATGGGAGTTTTAGAATACCTACATATATATACGCGCATATATACAATATTTTTATTTTGAAATTCATTTTCTAGATGACATGTTTACCGTAAAAGGTGTAATATTTGACATATACAATGTCTTTCTTAATGAATCCGAAAAACAAGAGAATATTAAAAAGAATGGTTGCGTCCTGCAATGTATATTAGAAAAATTTGGAATTGTAAGTAATATTTTTTGTTATCTTTGTAAAAGATTGTTCGAGCTATGAACTAATAAGATAATAAAACATTATTTGGGACACAAGAATGTAATCTTATATAATTGTTATTATACAATGATATATTATAATGTTATTAATATTTTATATGTTTTTCTTATAAATGTCAGATGGAAGGATCGGAATATGACGTAGAAAAAATGCGTAGCGAGACAATCCCTGAAAATATTGATGAATCAACAAAATTAAATATGCTTAAAGGTCTGAATAACTGCATAAATGAAAGTAAGTTATAGAATCACATTATATACGAGTTCTCCAATTAATAATAAACATAAGATTATTGATTTTGTTTATTAAAACTGTTTAGTGTTAATTTCTTCAATAAATTATTAAATAAGTCATCTTAATGCTATCAATTTATCTAAATCTAACAATTTAAACATTATAATCAGAAAAAAAATGTAACATAAGTACTTTACTTTTCTTATTATTTTTTAATTAATTTTTTTTCTATTCTAGCAAAGGATCTTACAGAAAAATGTGAAAAAAGCTTCAATCTTGTAGCATGTGGCCTAAAATCTAAATTTCTTGTATATTTTGATCTTATATTTCAAGGAGTTAATATAACCCAGATAGCAGATACACGTTTTATAAGTGTTTTATAAGCGTTTTTCCGAAACGTTTTATAACCGATTTCTAGAAACGTTTCTCATGAGTAAAAATGTCCATTCGAAAAACATTCAATGAAACGTTTTTTTTCCGATAAAATAACGTTTAAAAAACTATTATAGAAACGTTTTGTTTTAATGATAAAGACATTTTAGATAAAGACATTTAAAATTCCTACTTTTTACGTATTTTGAACGTGTTTATGACGTCTTTGAGACATGCGTGAGAATGTTCTACAAGCTTTATGCATATACCATCTATGACGTCTATTCTTTTTCGAAGAAATTCCTGAACTGGTGCATATTCGTGCAATAAGTTAAAGTGAAACAAAATATACTTGTCTCACTCTAACTTAAATTGCATTACTGATGTGCACCAGTTCAGGAAGTTCTTCAAAACGGAACACACGTATAAATGTTCTTTCAATGACCACGTTCAGCAGAACGTTTATTTTGCAACCGTTGGAAGTTTTCTAAGCTCAGATTTGTCCGATGACAAATAGATTAAGACCGGTAGAACAAAATTAATTTAAGTAAATAAATGGATATATATATGCATGGATAAAATGATTTATTTTATTCAATAATAATTAGTACAACATCAATTTAAATATATAAATTTAAATGTACGAAAACTGTCCAAGCAAATCTTGAAGTGTACCCCAATGCAGAGAAGAAAAACAGAAAGGCCCAAAGCAACGTGGTTGGGCGGAATACAGAAGGCCATGTCAGAACGCAATCTACAACCAGGAGATTGAAAAGACAGGAAAGGCTGGAAACTGGGAACCGAAAAACGCTATGAAAACCGAATATATATATATATATATATATATATATATATATATATATATATAATATATAAATTTAAATGTTTCAAAAAAAGCTATTAAAACTATTATTTATATAGATAAAGCAAATTATAATTTTAAAATAAAAAATTTAACAAATAGGTATTTTTGTTAACTGTAGAAACGTAAAAAATACATTTCTTAAATCATGGTTTCAAATACATTTTTGTTCAAACGTCTCTTAATGGTTCTTTACGATTATGAAACTATGAATACGTTCAAAAAACATATATGAAACAATATGTGCTACCTGGGAACATAGTGTCATGTAATAGTAATAATATAATATTAAAGTTAAATAACGCGTGCGTAGCACATTTATAATGTCTAATAATGTATGAAAATCAGCTATGTATACCTTCATTTTTAATAAAGATATATATTTATACTATTTTCTTTCGTTTTGGTGTATTAATACGAAAACTAAATTTTGGTTTAAATGATGTATCTACTTATTCTCTCTATTAAAGAATCAGATGTATCGAGCTCTTTAAACTTATAATATTGTATAAATAAATAGACGCAATTGTGTAAGTAAATTTTTATAGATTGCATTTCTTTTTATTTACGTAGCTTTTTGTAAATCGTAAGAAGCAGAAACAGAATAACCTGAATAAATACAAATAAATGCAAAAGTTAAATATTATTCGTACAATTATCTCTCTCAATGCACATTTATAATACATACAAAATATAATGAAGTTTATAATACACACAGAATATAATACTGTTTTATAATATCACTGTTTTTTTCGATTATCACGGTATTATTAGATTTTACGAATTCTTGCCACAAGCTAGGAGAGATCGGGAGAATTGGCATTAGTTAAGAAAAAAATATAATAAATATATTATAATCACCAAATTTTTTAATTTGAGCTTTTAGTAATTAAATTTAAAAAACATTAAGCTTTAATTTGATATAACATAATTATTTAAATTCTAATAAAATCAACAAAAAAATAATTATTTTTAAAATTAAAAAATAAACTCCCATTATCTCCGACATCGGGCAATGAGAACCATCTTATAAGTAATCAGATCCATTGCCTATGCAGAACATTTAAGTGAGTAACAAAGTATTTATTTATAAAAACAGTAATTAAATAGATAAAAACTGTATTTTTCTTATACAAAATGTTTCTTAAAATCTGATGAAAAATTGTATAGATTGTATTCCTCTTTTTATTTACGCGCGTAGCCGTTCGCATGCGAATGTACTTACGTAACTGTAATAATTATATATAAATATCAATTTACTATATAAATAATTTGTATTTTATAAATAAAATAATTGATTAATTAAAAAGTATTAATTATTTTTTCTGCACATTGTTTTACACATAATAAAAGTATGTCAATGATTAAAATTATTGACATACTTTATCATGTGAAACAAACTCATACTTGATTTTATGGAAATAGCTCTTGTACACGTCAATGTCCGTTAATGATATTTCGATTATAATAAACGTAAATTAATTACAGTTACTTCAACAGCAGGAACAAGTTTGAAATTATAAAGAAAATTTTGCGTCGTATATTTTTTTCTTTTTGTTAATCGTTACGGTTAATATCTGATTCGTGCCAAATATGTTCGTCAAACATTTCCGACTTTGCCAAAAAATAGTGTCCAAGTTTAAATAAAATATGTAAAAACAAATCATTAACTTATGTAACATGATAAATATGTATAATATAAATATTAAAAATATAAATAATAAGATATAATCAGAGCACAAACATTGCATATGCAGACACATAATTATGAAGAAATATGTTAAAAAATTCCATATATGTGTTTTTATACATCCGAACAACTCGTATCTGTAACAGTAAGTCTAATAAATATCAGTAACTTATCATTATACATCTTACATCTGCATGATATTTTTACACCATTCTTGACCTCACAACTCTAATCTACGTATACATAGTTACTGTTGATAGAAACATATTTAGATATACATTTATTTGCTTTTGTAAAGTTCTCTAATGCATTTATAAAAAAATAATAAAATTATATAGAAATTTATATTTAAAAAATAAAGACATTCATGTTCTATGTTTGCACTCTCGCTCTTGTTGTATTTTTAAAAAACTTAAACGCGTATAGATATTAAGTTTAATTTTGATGATATAATTTCGTATTTTTATTTTAGAGTAGATATGAACTGTATGAGTAATTAAACATGTTTTGCATAGACTACCTTTCTTATCATTTACTAGATATGAACTGTATGAGTAATTAAACATGTTTTGCATAGACTGTCTTTCTTATCATTTACGTAATCGTTTTTATCGTGTTGCTTGTGTAGTAAAACATTTCCATCATTACAAATACACAGCTTGCATAATAATAAAATTTTTTTTAAACTTAATTATACACTTTATCTTGTAAACATCGCATCCTTAATTTGGACATTTTTTAAAATAAAATATTGTAATGTATAAATATAAATTTTTGGTAATATAATATATTTTCTATACATATAACAAACTACAAGTATTTTTTATTTAGTAAAGAATAACAAATAATATCTATAATAGAGTAGTAAAAAAAGCTTTATGTATTACATAAAAGCTTTATATATTTTGGTATTAACACATCATAAAGCACACATAACATATTTTAATAAATAATAAATGTAAAATTTGTTGATTTTGGCTCGTTTATATATTTATAGTCCTCCAATTTATAGCAAAATTATTTATTGATTAAAATCAGTAATATATATTAAGTAGTGGCATATAAGAATTTATATATATCCAGTAAATCAGATCCGGTAAAACGTCTATTTATTTAAATCACGATTTAGTTTCCAAAACAACACATAAATATTTTAAATAAATACTTGAAATCTACAAAATTTAACAATAATTTTATTATTACTTATTTTATTATTACTATTTATTTTATTTTTATATATTTGCGCCAATGCACTTCGCAATATGGTATTGGCGTATTATCATTATGGTAAATAATCTCTAATACATTAATGTTATATAACTAATGTTTGTACACTAAGAGAAATAATTATTTTTTTTTTTTAAATTTTGTTGATTTAATAAAACCGGAAGATTGTATGTTGCCAAGCAGATGATTTGATTGGTTTAACAAAATATTTGTACAAACTATTTTTTTTTGTTCTTTTTTACTATTTTGTTTTATTTTATACTATCAGTTATACATAATATAACATTAACTAAATATTTCTTTAAATAAATTTACTATTTTTAAAAACGTTAATGTTTTTGGTTCTCAACAAAATTATTTTATTGAGTTAACAAAATTGATCATTAACTTAAAAAAAATGATTTTGTATGATACCATTTTCAGAATTCAATTATTTTATTTTGTTCAAATAATAGACGTGTATTTAATTTAATAAAATAAATAATTAAATCAATAAATTAAAAAATCAACAAAATTGTTTCGTTGATTCTACAATATTTTTTCCTCAGTGTATGATCTATGATCTTGTTTCTTTAACCTATGTATTTTATATTTTAGCATGAGAGTATATATACGGTGCAGTTGCGGTTGCTATGAATAATTGTGTTTAGTACAGTGGAGATATAATTCGTACAAAATGAAAAGTCTTGTGCTTTGCACCTGTGTTTTAATAATTGCTGTAAGTACTATTTTATTAAACTACTTAAATAATTTTAATGAGTTAAAAAATATTATTTAAAATAATACACATTAAAAAAGGTATAAATTGAATAAAATTAAAATCTTTTTTATAAGTTTCAGTCATCAAGCTCATCAGAACTAAAAAACCGGCTTAAAAGTGCAGTTAAATCACGCATAGAAAATGATGTTGAAGCTTGCATGACTGAAAATGATATGACTATAGGTAAGTTATAATTACACACATTGTTGCCAACTTTATATTTCCATTTCTTCTTTTGATCAGTTTTAAATTAATTCTGTTTTAACTGATTTGATTGGGCACTCATCTTACTTACAATGTTTTAATTTTTTAATTGAGTTAACTTTTTTGTAAAAACAATTTTCGGCTGTAAAAGCGTTTTCCTGTACGTTGATCTATTTTATTTTATTTTATAGATGATGCCTTCGACGAAGAAGACATAATGAATAACTTACCTGCGAAACCTGAAAATGCAGAGAGAACAAGAAAAAATGGCTGCGTGATTGCGTGTATCTTAAAGAAACAGAACTTAGTAAGTGTTTACAAATATGTTACATATTTTATACATAATGTCCAATAATGCAATAATAACCTGTCACAATAAATAATAAAACTTTTAATTATTAAAGATTTAGTAATTTAATAATGTAATAACTATTAATAAAACTTTATATGTACTTAACAACCAATTAATACACAAAGTGATATTATTATTATATGTTCTTAATAAAAATATATTATGCTGTTTAATTCATACATTTTAAATTGTATAACTTTTTTAAAGAAACAAAATAATTATATGTTATGTTCTACTATTTCCTACTATTTATAATTTCTCTTTAATAATATTAGATGGAAGGAACAAACATTAATGAAGCTCAAGTTCGTGCAAAAATAAATGAAATGGGAAATTCCTGGGACGGTCCGGAACTAGCCATGGCACACAAAGTTGCGCGTAAATGCATAAAAAAAGGTAAACTATATCTTATTATATTATAATTATTACAAATATATAAGTACTACAACACTACAGTTACTAAAAAATAAAATATTACAAAAACATGTATTATGTACACTTTTTTCATGTGCAGTGTGCAAGTTTTGGAACAATACATTTGCTATTAGAATATAATAGTCTCACAGAATATGTTATACATATATTTCAATATTATTTAATTATATTTTTAAAATTTTTATGAATATAGTGAAAAATATTACTCAAGAATGTGAGAAAGGTTGGTCTCTGAACGTGTGCATCGCAGAAGCTATACATAAAATAGGGCAACATGATGAACATGACTTAGACCAAGATACAGAAGACGAAGCAGTAACAGAAGCAGTAACAGAACAAGCTGAATAAATACAAATAAATGCAAAAATTGAATATTACTTGTATAATTATTAATACACATTTATAATACGCACACAATATAATTTACCTTAAATAAATAGATATATATATATATATACTCTTGTATGTACTTTCTCTATTTTTCTGATTTAATAAATGTGCTGCAAATATGAGAATGTATTTTAATTTGTTAAAACTAATATAAATTTTTTGTAATATGATATATTCTATACTTATAACAAACTACAAGTATTTTTATTTTAGTAAAGAATAACAAATAATATCTATAATAGAGTAGTAAAAAAAGCTTTATATATTTTGGTATTAACACATCATAAAGCATACATAACATATTTTAATAAATAATAAATAATAAATTTAAACGCGAAATTTGTTGATTTTGACTCGTTTTATATATTTATAGTTCTCCAATTTATAGCAAAATTGTTTATTGATTAAAATCAGTAATATATATTAAGTAGTGGCATATAAGAATTTATATATATTCGGTAAATCAGATTGTATATACATGTATGTATGTGTTGTGTGTACATACATGTGTGTGTTTGATAAAATAATTGATAAGATACATTAATAGTTTAAAATTAGATATATTAATAACAAATTAAAAATTGACATCACATCAGCTTTTTATTTTCCAGCAAAACTATTACTTACAATATCTACACAGTCTCTTCAACGATTGATAAGGTTACAATGTATGAAATTTATGTAGCAGTGTCTACCATCTCAATTAACTAATATCTATTTGAATAATAGTATCTATTATATATAAGTTTGTTCTAGATCTATTATATATAAATTATTCTAGATTATAATAATTTTTTACTTAATATTCTTAAAACATATAATTGGATATCTTCTAAAATATATTTATAAATTTCTATTCTACATTCACATTTATATAAATCTGCATGACTAAGTATGTATTACATTTTGCTATTATTTTACGCTGTCTATAAATAATCATAAATAAATTATTATATTAGAATAATATCACATATTAACGATACTAAAGTGTTAGTATGAAGCATTCGATGCATGTAGCAAGTTTTCCTCGAAAACATAAAATATAAGAGATAAAGTACGTGCGTAAAGTTTCATATTCACATTATTCGTATAATATTCAAGGAGATATAGAAAAAAAGAGTACGTACATCAACACGATTAAGCATAGATATTTTTAATCTTTTATTTCTCGTATACAAATATCACGAATGAATGCAATAATGAAATTTCGATATTGATCACAGATTAAAAGTCAGTCATACATTATTTTTCCTACGACTAACTACTAATTATAATACTATTCGTAAACTGTTCATAAATTTTCTATTTCTATTTTTATTTTTTAATTGTCATATATGCTTATCAGAAAAGTTCGCTACATGCTTCGAGTTCATTTCTTCAGTCACGTTTATTTACACATTTTTATATAAACGTAAATACTCAACCTGAATGTAATGTTAAATTATTTTTAATATTGCTTTGACAAACTGCATTATACTCACGTAAAAAACGCATAAAAATATATATTATTGCAATATATTTATTTTACGATGAAATTTATTGGAAAAGTTGCAAAAGCTTGTAAAATGTTGCTCAATTTAATTGAGCATAATTCCAAAACTGATAAGCATTTAACGCAAAACCATAATGTCCAATTGTATTGCACGTTATATACAAAGAGAATGATATGACTATTTATGTGAATCTCGAATTTGCGCGTATCCGAAAGTAGATATTGTGCGTATATGCATAGTGAAATATTTATATCTTATAAAACCGCATAAGAACTATTGATTGGTTATAAGCTCGTACTAAGAACATACGTATCATTCTTCATTAATAGACTGCAATTGCGAATAAACTCGAGTCAACCGCAGTCATTCTAATACCGGACGTCACATAATTGGATAAGTTCGTAACTGTACGGAGAACTTCACGTCCTCGACGTATCTTTCTTCCAGTTAACCGAAGCAGGTAATTTCCGATTCGTGCCATCCAAGTTTGGTCTACTCTTCGAACATTTCCTACATGTTAATCGCCAGAAAGCGAGTCTGAAGTCTGCTGAATAGAAAGCGTAAATGAACGGGTTGATGGCCGAATTAATCCATCCTAAACACATAAAATCACTTTTAATCAGTTTCGTAAAAAGTATTCAATAGTAATATGTCATGCAACTGTAATTTTGAAGGACATTATAATGACATAAATTGAAAACTATAAATATTGATACAAGATAAATAAATTTGTCACATTTTTTAATTTATTTTATTAATATTTATTCTCTATTGTATGTACAACAATAGAAAATAAACTTCTGCATTTAATCCAACTTTAACTTATCTAAATATATTTTAAATATTCGTTACAGTTCGCATAAATGCATCAATCAATAAAAAAAGGCAAGCATATTTGGAAACATTATGTAATTGGAAACATCATATGTAAAAGAGACTACCTAGCCATGTCAAGGCTGGCATGAGAACATCCGGCGGTTGCACGGGAACGAAGGGTGTTACCAGATACAGAATGAAAAATGGCAGCCAGCATGCGACGAAACCACCTACAACCACCGCCAGGGTGCCCGCAGTTTTCGTCTCCCTGGCGACTCTGTTGATGCAGCTTTGCTGATTACCCCGAATTGTGCCCAACTTTTTGCACATATTCGTTAGTTCGGTATCCTCGGAGGGCCTGTCGCACGTCATACCGCTCTCAGCATAATCTGTACGTTGCGCCTTGATACTCCTGCCACGCTCAATCTGCAGAAAAATAGTTTCATATATTTCGTACATTGATATCGCGATACATTGGCAATTACATATTTGTTAAATCAATTTAAGCCCTTTTTTTTGCCAGTTTAAATTTTGTCAAGCTTAAACAGTTCGAAAGTTAATAACGTCGCCAAGAAAGTTACCTAATTAAATTATAGAGCTTTATAACTTTTCAGAATTTTCAATATCCCCAATGTAAGAAAAGCGTGTTTATAGTGATGAGATTTTCTTTTACAAACAGCAACGTTTGTTTCTCCTGGCTCTTTCAAAGCGTTTCTTATTCTGTCACCGTAATAAATTGCTCAATGTCTCCTTGTATTGTTCTTGTTTGTAACCGAAAGAATCAATTTCTAAACTATTTTCATTCAGTTTCTTTGTATAAAACAGTGTTATTACTTTTATAGGCCAATAAAAAACGTGCTACTTAAAAAAATCATATTCATTGTAAATAAAATTATATAATCCGCATGGCGTACTTTTAATTATTGAGTTTTATTACTGATGGATAACAAAAAGAAAATTCTTTGAGTGATTTCCGCTATTTTTTATTAAAATCATTTTTACGGCTACGTAGCTAAACCAAATCCGACAAAGCTCACAAGATATATTGCGCAAAATGATTGATAATATAAAGTAAATGATTGATTATATAAAGTCGGATAATGTGGATTATGATGAGAAATCCATGTCTCCCATCATGGTGCTAATACCTATGCTATTCTACGTCCGTCGTTTACGAGAGAGCCGTTGATTTCACTAATCTCCTTTCCATTGAAACTACGAGAACGGTTTCGTTATCTTTAATCGATGGTGCCATTGGAATTACGGTATAGTTTGCATTACAGCATTAGTTTGTTTCTGTCCAATTAGAAGTGCGCGCTTGCTTTAAATTCAAAATAGGTCGTAATCATATATTTTTGTTAACTGCTGCTTTGTTGTTATGAACAATTTCCCTGATTATTCTTTGTGCTTGTGCTTTTTCATCATGTCCCTGTACGCATTGGAATTTGGAATGTCAGTTTTAATTATAGAAATGGACATTATATTCTGTCTGTGAAATTAATTTCGTGGGGAAACATTTCGTCCAACGAAACTCTGTCTGAAAATGTCTATTTCGAAGAAAGTTTTTTGAAGAAATGAAGAGATGGTTCCGATTCTTTATTATAAATCTGCAGATTTCAGTGTTACGCACATTTTTACAAATTTTGATAATTATCTATTATTAATGAGATATAATCGCAAATTAGAGTATTGATCGAGTAGACTTTCAACAACGAGTCATTAATAATCGAGTCATTAATCTCGTCAGAACTATAGTTCACAATATCATCTATACCGGAATAAACAAAGCATAAAATAGAAGATTAATGTATAGGCAGTTGTAAGCAGTAGAAAAAAGTGACATGTAATCGTAATAAATCATATTAAAGTTTTACTTCTATGATACAACTTAAAGCTTATTTAAATAAATAAAATTATAAAGCATACAAACAACAACACAAGATAAATGTAATTTAAAACGCGCGAACTTTCGTATAATATTAATGTTTAGAATTTTTTAAATAAACTTTTTTATGTAAAAAAATCTTGTTTATTTATAACAAACACGATACAGTTGTATTATTAGATTTTATCGAATTACGTAGCAAGGTAAATATCTAATAAAAGCGAATTGTGTAACAAGGAAAACAACTGCACCGGTCGCAGCGGAGATAAACGTGTCGTGTGTCTGGGGAAAACTAAATCAAATAATTCTCACCGTGATTTTACGACGTGATCGGACGTTCTCCCCCTCGTTGGTCTTCTCCAGATTTCTGTGCCTGCTCGCTATGACGCACGAAATTCTGCCGTACACGTACAGCATTACCAGCATAGGCAGGAAGAAGCTGCCCATCGCCGAGAATATTACATAAGAAGAATCCATATTGTAGGAGCACTTTTTGATATCGCGGTTCGTCGCACGCGGGAAACAGCCCAGTAAAGGCGGGCTCGTTATAGCGCCGGCCATCACCCATACCGCGACGATCATCAACCCAGCCAGTCGTTTGCTTCTGCGTCGACGGCTGTATATCAGCGGCTGAGTTACGGCCAGATACCTTGAACAAGGAATACCGACAACGACGCGATAAATTCTGCACGATTTTACCTCTGTACGTGCTGAATCGCCGCAATACGTAGGATGCCGAATGCTTCCTTGTGGAATGGGCGGGATATCGGAAAAATAGATAGACAATGACAATAGCATGCTGAACGAATTGTATCAGGATTTTCGGAGTACCCTTATCTCGAAAGTTAACTACATTGAATAAGAAGGTGTACGCGTTACCAAAATTTCTGAAATGCAAGAAATCGTAACTTTAACCTATTTACGAAACAAGTTCGCGCGTCTGTGCATATAATCAATGTGATAAGTTAGGAGATTTTCACTGCAATGTAAAGAAAACATTTAACTGAAATAAAAATTGGACTTGTATATGTATTACAGACCACAGTAAAAACCAAGAACTACCATTGTTAGGCAGTTTCTTTGCTTTCAGAATTCTATTAAATTATAAACCTTTATTTTGTGCAACTGCTTTCTTACCAACTTAAAATAATCAAGAAAGAACTGCTTTTATATTAAATAATAATTGATTTATTTAATCATAATAAAATCAACACAATAGAATTTACAATTAGAATTTCATTTCTTCCGATTCCACTACAATTGGCAAACTACAATAGAATTTTACTGAAATGAACTTTCTAATTGGAAAATCCACCCGCTTTTGCTGCTATTTTTCACCAAAAATCTGTAAAACCCGGATGTTGAAAAGTTTACGTCGCGCGAAATCTCTTTTTTAATAATGGAATAATCTATCATTTTACGAAAGATTAAACGGACGGCGGGACGACTTCCCGCTAATTTCGTTATCTACGTGACGAGCTTTGGAAATGCGTGATCGGATTTACCTGTCTATAGAAATGGCGCATAACGAGAGAATGCTAGCTGTGCAAAGTAGAATGTCGAGGGAGACCCAGAAATCGCACAGCATTTCGCCCAACTCCCAAGTTCCTCCTGTAAGCTTCAATGAACATCCCATTTGATAAGACGCATGAAAATGCAGTTTATACGAGGTAGGAAGGAACATCTCTCTTTGCATAACGATGTTGACTAGAACTCATGGCTTACGATATCTACTACACGAGTCCGTCTGCAAGACTATTAAATGCCGGCACTAATTAAATGCCGCTTTAAATATCGTCCCGCAATTTATTTTTCCCGGCATGAAAAACGCATGATAATTAAATAAGATTCTACTGATTCTATAACGTGCTTACGCGAAAGCTCGTAACTTAGTACCAAGGATGAATTGAACATTTCGCGCTCGTTTATTGCATTTTATCCCCTTGACGAACATATGCATACCTGTAACAGCACAGCTGGTGGCATCACCGCTAGACCGACTAGTAAATCCGCAGCAGCCAAGCTAGACACGAAACAATTAGTCACGGACCGTAATCTCCTTGTAGTAATTACAGCCGCAATCACTAGGGTATTGCCGACCTGTAATAATAATGCGAAGAAGGAGTCACAATCGTGGAAAATATATAGGTGGAAAATATACATATAGGTGGAAAATATATATACGAACGTACGAACTTAGACGGGCACATTAAAATTACTCTTACAATTAAATGTTATGTATTATGAGAAAATACTTTTTTAAATATGTGAGACTGCTGTTTTTTATATTTAAAAATGCAATACTAATACCACTTAAGGCATCGTGCTTTTGTAAGATATTTATGCGCTCAGAGCGCCATTAAAGCGGATAGTCTGATGTAAAAAAATGCTGGAAGCTGCAGTTACCGAATGCTACAATTGCTTACTATAGTAACAATAATCAGCATCGTGAACAATCCTGCTAGAATAAGATCGGTCCAATTAGGTAGATAATATTCCGTCTCTGTATCTCCTTCATCCGCCGATACCGTACGGTTCCATTGGTAAATGTCTTCATGGTGATCAGCCGTTTGATTAGCCATGTCGCTTACCCTCGATCCATAAATGATAATTTCTGTTTCGCCGTCCGCGGTATGTTGTAAGACATGATGATTTCTAAGAGGAGTCCATATCCTAAATGATACACATTAGATAATTTGTGCAACCTTGCTATTTGATTAAGTTTACAATTTAATTTCGCATCTCTATCAATTATTCAACTTACTCTACCACATTTTTCTCTTACTTTAATTGCCATAGTAATAAAAAATAATTAAGAATTTTACTTTTTATTTAATTTACATTGTCACAATGTATGAATAATAATTACAAATGCACATAATGTAAAATAGTTATATATTATAGATGTATATAAATCTTTATATATAAAGCCATTACGTACTCATACACAAGTGCCATAACTCCTGACGATACATCATTCATTACATGACAGATAAAATTCTAAAAAAAAAAAAAAAAAAAAAAAGGATTTTAAATACTTATTTATCTCAGTTGTAATTTTTTTTTCACATATATATAAACAGCTCAATTACAAAGATACAAATGCCTAGATTTTTTAATTTAAATTGTCATGAAAAATGGAGAATATGCAAAACGTTTGCAGAACATACAATATTAAATCGAGATGCGAATCCTGCGGACGATGAGGCGCATATGAATTGAATTTGAAATTGATTAAAAATATGACGAACATGTGCACGTGGAAATATGAATATAGATAAAAATGATTGGGGGTGGAACGTTTAAAACTTCTATGGTTATGCGAATATGCGGGCGAAATTGTCCAACGCTTAACATTTCTGCGAAATATGGAAATGGAAAGAGAGGCAAACGCGAGTTTGCTAAAAATGGATGAGAAAAGCCAGACTATGGAAATAAGACAGTGCAGGAGAGATCGATCGTGCTATTAAAAAGAGAAATCGTATACCGAAGTATATGAAAAGAGATGCGCATCGAACGAGACAAATCCTTCGAGTTCATATTTTATCACTGCCAAGTATATTAAGTATTTTATCAAAAGTATAATAAAGGATTTTATCGAACAAGCCTATATTTTCAGCAGACTATTTATTTTAATAGTATTAATATATAAATATATTTTACACACACACACACACACATTTTATATATTTTGTAAGATAAAATATTTTGACTTATTATTAAAGTCTATATAAATTATAGAGTAATATACAAACAATAAATTACCAGTATTAAATAGTTATTCTGCAATGTAAAGAACGAATTTACAGAATTATATAGAATAAAGCACATAATTAACATAAATATATTTCTGCATCAATTAAATATTTCAAAGATTTAAAGATAATATTCATTTGTAAAAATAAAGAATAAGTAAATTATAATTTGGTTTATAATGAGACTGTTAACATAAAATAGAACTTAAACATATTGCGATTACAGTTAAAATATACATACAGTAATAAAAAATATTAAATATTTTATTTGTTACGATAATTTGATCATTTAATTCGCGGTTCCCCTAACTTGCATGGTGACTTTTTACAACCAACTGTACCAGTCCATTATCGGTTTCAGCAGCAAATGGATTTTCCTCCGGCTCGCCGAATTAAGTGAATTACGGCGTTGTTTCCGCTTTCACTGCGCGACTGAATAATGGCAACCTGAACTGAGAAGTAGTTTAAAGAGAGCGGAATTCCGAGCACGTACTTAATTCTAATAACTATCAGCAATGAACATAATGTCAGATTATAAGGTGTCGTCTAAATGAGCATTGACTGTAATTTCTCTTTATTAAGATTGTAACTCTTAACTGCACTTCTCAACTTCAAGCACAAGCTCCCACTTTCTTTATCTTTCTCTGGTATTTCGAATTATCAAACACTTTTTGAACGTTTTTTAAAAAAATCATAGAAAGCGTACAAAAAAAACTTTCTTATGCATCAATATAAAGCGGATTGTGAGACCATATATTTTCTTCTTAGAGAATGTTAAATAACGATAATTTACAGTATTTCTATTCTCATCATAAAAATTAAATAGCGATTCAAAAAGATGTAATGTTAGAAAGAAACATGTTGAATTCATATCTTTTATTTGCATCTTTTTGTAATAATTTAATGATCTTTTTATGTCATTTTTACTTTGTTATATGCATATAAAAGAATTCTTAAATATAACAAAAATTTTTCGTATAAGAATGCCATTACTTGCGATAAATTTAAATCAGTTATCTCGAGTATGAAACAAAGTTTTAATTAATTTGGATTGATATGCAATTTTACGTTTTACGTGCTTCTAATACCGCTACATTTATCCACGTATTCCACACACAGCATTTGACTCACACTGCAAGAAGCGCATTCCACGCAGAAAGATATTGGATTCTTTTTAATGGCTTCGTGAAAATCAGGGATTACATTATCCCACGGGAAACTCGTATCTATAATGAGAAACTGTATGTGTGAGAATCAAACCATGTACGTATTAAGGAAACAGTTAAAAACAGTAGTGGGTCGATCGATAAACATTTGATAAAGATATTCCCACTTGGAACCACGGTAGACTCCCCCGATCAACTATAAATAATCACCAGTAGCGCACCAGGAGACTGGTTTATAATGTATAAAAACTGGGCGGATACTACCGTGAGATATGAATGTCGGATAAGACGAATGGACCAACGAGATCGCGCGCGATCGTTATCGACCCTGCAGGATAAAATAAAACGGATTGTGGCGAGAGAGTTGCTGGGTCCATCCTGTTATCTTGAATAATAAAATATTTGGAAAACCGGAATTATGCATAGCGCAAAAAAGAACAAAGACAAAATGCATTGTCTTTATAAAAAAAGATAACAATTTTGAACAAAATTTATTTTTTAAATATTACTTTTTATTCTATATTACAATTCTAATATATTACACACATTAAAAATTTCTCTCTCAGATCTATTTGTAGTATAGTTTTACTTTATTATCTTAATAAAATATTAAATATTATACAATGATAATAGAACTATGTACGATAATGATACAGTGCAATATTGTATCTAAAAAAAATAAAAATTAGCATAAAAAACATTTAACGTGATGTAAATAAAGTAAAAATTAAATCTTTACTTTAATATATTTTACTATTCTCAATTATTATTAAAAAGATAATGCACAAATATTACAAACGTTTCTTTAAATTGTCATATCTATGTAGAATACCAGCTTTAATATTTCAACATGTTGCGATCAGACGCGTTTATCCTTTCAATAAAAGGGAATTGATTTCTGAGTATCACGAGTACATTTTATTTCTCTACTTTTTCCTTCCTAAAAAAAATATATATATATATATATATATATAAATGGAAAGCATTACTTTTTTAATCCTATTCATACACGTGCTCGTTCAAAAAAAGATATTCGATATTCATTCCTGCGATTAAAACTTACACCGTATTAATTGCGAATAGAATCATTTCAAACGGTTTTAATTAATCACAATTGCACAATCTGCACGCGAATCGTCCGAATCGGTTACTCTCAGGCTTCACTCTGGCAGCTTACACATAGATAACGTACAAAAATGCGCAGTGAAAAGATAGAATGTAACGTAGCAACGAAAATAAATGTGTCCACAAATTTCCAAACCGTAGGTTCAAGTAGAGCATCCATGAGCATAATAATTTCACGTACACTCTACCGGCAGGAATGCCTGGACATAATACATATACATATACATATACATACATGTACATATATGTCATATACATATCAAAATGTTCAGGCATTCCTGCCGGTCAGTGTACCAGTAATATCATTTAAATGTGTCCTATAAATGAATAATCGTAGATGTAAAAATGTAGTGCTATATTTTGTGTAAAAATTTCTGACGAAAGAAGTAAATTTGACTGCTTTGACAGAGTTTACCGCAACTTTTTTGCTCAACAGCATTCAGAAAGTATAATAGAAGCAAAAAATTTCCACCCAGTTTTCGCTGCAACGATTTTAGTGTAAATAGAATTCTCCTAGAATTTTGTTTATTAAAAAAAAAGGATAAAAATATATACAGAAAAATGCTGAAAATACTGCTTATCTATATACTTAAGATCCCCGTCGTAAATATATTTCTCTTTATTTATAAATGCAAATGTGTAATAATATTAACTAATATGGTATTCCGATTATGGACATATTTCATTGAATCTTATTTGATTAAATATTTAGCGAATAATTTTCTTTTTCTCTTATTATAGGTTATTATTTGATTTAAAAAGCAGTTGCTCAAAGTTTTTATCTTTTATCTTTGAGTATGCCTGCATTAAAAAAAAACACATATTTAAGAATGTGTGAATATAGAAATATTCAACAATATAAACATTAATTTTCTTGCTATATTATTTTAACATATTTACTGATTCTAAATATTTCAATTTTATGAATTTCTAAAAGATTTAAAATACCGCCATTTTAAAACAGGAAGAGATAAAGATCCGTAATTATTCAGCGCAATCCGTTCGTTCTGGTGTTTGATCTGTTTTTTAGATATGGGTCGCTCTAATCGATTTCGCCATAACTGGTGTCTACATCTGCCATGCTCATGCATACATGTAGAAAATAAGTACGTTCAAAATATAAGCATATTTGTTGGGGAAAACAGAATAATAAATTCTTTTAAAGCTTTGTTACATTAATTCCAACACGGAGAAAATTGCTACGGTTATTATACAACAACATTCTCTATGATTGAAAAAGAAATGTATGTGAATTCAAGTTATATTGATATTACACATTAAATGTAGCTGTTAAGATATGCTCATCTGTCCCTTTTGTATTGATGAGCGAAAAATAACATTATTATTCTGTTGTAGCAACCCTAACTTTTTTCCGTGAAATAATTTTTTAACTAGACTCCATAACATTAATTGAACAGTGTTGAAATGTATATAATACACAAAAATCACATTTCTCTCTATTAAATATATTTAAAACGTAAACCGTCTAAAATGTTCAAAACTTAATAACAATTTGAATTACTAATGTAAATTAATGTAAATTAATATACTTAAAATAATATAACATGTACATGTACGTATAAAACTTTAGAGAATAAAATTATTTACACGGTTGCTGCAAAAAAGC